GATTTATTTGGGATTAAATTCTTCATGAACATATTTGAAAGCTTTTAACAACAAACATTGATCATCAAGCATCTAAGCTTGAAGATCATCACATGCATGTTAGTTTTTGGGTGAAGTAATATCACCATCATCATAAAAATCATGTTTATGAACAGGCATGTGAATAATCTCAAAGAAAATTGTTTATGGATAAGAAGAAATGGTAAAACTTGAAGGAATAGTGAAGTAGAAATTGATTTTACCTTCAAGAACACCACAAGATGATGAAGATTTCGAGTTTGAGGTGTGTTCTTGGACATATTTTCTGGAAAATTTCGTGGTTTAGAGGGTGGAGAAGGGAGAGAATGAAGTTGGTAATGGAAAGTGTGAGAGAGGTGAAGTGTGAAAGAGAAAGAAGAGTGTAAGAGTTGTTTAAATGATTTCTACTTTGGAAAGAGAGATAGTGGGAGAGAGAGAGAGAGAGAGAGAGAGAACAAATTTTTGGGGACGAGAGAGGGTTTCCCTCTCTTCCATTTTTATAAAGTTCATATATTTTATAAAATTATGAAATTTTTATAAAAAAATGCACCTTAACCTATATATTATTCATAAAACCTTGGTTTTTGACTTATAAATTAAGGGTAAATGTTAATGTATTAAATTTTATTTTCCTTGATTGAATTTTCATAATTTTAATCATTATAAGATAATATTATAAGGTTCATAATTATTTTTATAGAATTTTTAAGGTTAAAGTTTATAAATATGAGATTTTATGGCTTTTAAGGTTTTGGAGTTTAATTCATCTTTGAATATCAAAATAAATTGAATATTTGAGACTTCAAATTACTTTTGTGTTTCCTAACTCTTATTCAAGTTATAAATAATGTTTGTAATTTATTTTTATCGGTTTATTGGCATTCTATGTAGTGGTTCCGAGATTCAAGTGAAATTGAAGAACCAAGTATACTAGTCCTAGTTTTCAACTTTGATTTAAGATACTATGACACTCTGACCTAATTTTTACCACTAGGTCAAGTGCATGATGTGTGTATATGATTCATGAAAAGGTGTTTGAGTCAAGGAGTGACCTAAATATGGATAGTCTCTATAGTTAAGTAGTTATAGAATTCACATAACAATGTGAAATCTAAGTACACTGTCCATCATTTCTAATTGTTTCCAAGTTTCTAGTAGATTATAACTTAGCTTCTAGTTACTAAGTCTAGTATGTGTCGTGCCTATATGTGCAAATAAGTTTAGTCAAATCTAGAACCGACTCGAATTTTGACGGTTGTCACATTCTTGAACAATATTCATTATTTGATGTTCAAAGCATCCATCGATATTCCATTCGTAGACACAAGTTCCAACCTACGAAGAACGATCATACTAGAATGCTCTTTCTTCAATTTGAACATTAGGAAGACAAGATATATTCAAAATATTTCGTAGTCTTGGCTTTTGATTTCTTCCAAATGTGTTATGTTCGGATTAATTAATTTTATTTAATTTAGAAAATTCATAAGTAAGTTGATTAATATCTTGATTATCTGTAAATTATTGAGCGAGAGTATTAATGTTAATTTCGCTATCACTATTAATATCTTCAGATTCATCAGTTGCTATTTGTTTAAGAGTATTAATGTTTTAAGATTTAATTTTGAAAGTCTTTTCTCTAATTCATCTATTAGATCTTTATTTTCTAAATTAAAATTTCCTTCAATTTGATAAGGAACAAAGCTAATATTTGAATAATTACTAGAACCTTCTTCTTATTTATTTTTTTATTAAAACATACCTCTTCTTTTTTCTCATTTCGTTTGAATAATTGCAATTCCATATTTTTTAATGTTTTGTTTATTTTGGTCGGTTCTATTTCTAAATTTGTTAAAATCTTTTAAAATGTTTTTCTTTCAAAATATTTTCTTCTATTCTATCTAATTGTCTCCAATAGTTGTTAAAACTCCATTTGAGTAATTGTTTTGATAAATAATATTTTGTAAATTTTTTTCAGTTGCTTGTTGATTTGGAACTTTTACTAGAGGAGTTGCTAAAATATGTTTATCAATAATAATTCCTTTTTTTGGTGGACAATTTGAAATAGTTTCTTGACTAGAGTCAATGTCTATGTATTTTTTATTCAAAATAGGAGTAATAGAGTCACTTTTGAATGGATAATCAATATTATGTTTAGGAGCATAAAATAACTCAAACCATTGAAAAAATGAAGAATAAATTTTGTTTATTAAAATATAATCTTCCTAGAGTCCTAAATGTAGAAATCTTAAGTAATATGAAAATTCTTTGTTATGCCAAGCTCTTTTCTTATTATTATATTCCTTATAATATTCAATAATTTTTAAGTAATTAAAATCAACGTGATATTTTATTTTTTATAAAAATCCATATTAACAAGTTGTTTTTGTTAGGATTGAAGAAACATGATTTATTGTTTCTAAATTACGATTTCTTGATTGTTTGTATATCTTGATCATATCAGTTATTCGATAAATTCTTTCTATTTGTTTATTATACGTATGACTATTGGTTTGTAGTTTTAATAAATAGTGTTTTTCCTGAGATAGTGAATCTTTGAATGTTGAATATTTTTACACATATTCGAGTTCATTTTCCAATGTCTTTTTATTATGTTAATCATAAGCCGATTATGTTTAGAACAATTAATCTGTATTTTAGAACTGATTTAACAAGTTAATAAACTGTCAATACTGTGGTTAATTGAATTATTGATACCTTTTATGACCCTTTTAAAATGAACAATCTCAATTTTTAGTCTTCCTATTTTAACTAATTGAATTGCAGTACAATTTTGACCTTTAGATATTAATTCTTGTACTTCTAGTTCCTTTTCTTTTAAGTGTTTTGTTGAAGTTCTTAAGTCTTGCCAAAAGTTTTTAAGTAAATTAGTATTATAATTTTTATCGAAATTACAATATATTTGAGTTTTATTACTCATATTGGTTGTTTAAAATTTTGAATTTCATCTACAAAATCATATTTAGTGGGACTTGGTAAACTAGTTTCACTATTTTGTTCATCTTGATAAAGTGGTTTAGGAATGGAATTAGTATAGTCAACAACCTTTAGTTTTTAAGGATCTTGATTTTGAAAATGAAGGTTTTGAGGTGCCAACTTCGGGAATCGAACTTGTTAAAAATCGTGATGATAAAAAATTTATATCAACTGATCCATCATTATGTTCAATAATATTAGAAATTTGTTTTGAAGAGTCTAAAGCCTTTGGTTCATTAACGTTTTGTAAATTCCAATTACATGATTGAGTAATTTCTAACTATTTAAGCCTTTTAGGCATATGAACCTTAGTATGGCTGGTATTTTCTTCGAAAATAATTGCTTCATTTCTTGGGCTTGATAGACGGGTTCTTGGTTCTAACGTGGTTGTCATGGTCTAATAACAAACACCATAGATTATTGCTAGAGGCTTGGTATTATTTTTAAATTCTTAATTTTTTGTTTCTACTGTTAAAAGTAAAGTGTTTAATATATTTTTATCGAATAATCCTACAGAAAAGAAAATTTTGGATAACAGTTAAAATAAATTGGTCCGTTAACAATATTTGTTTCTGCCATAACTAAAATAGAATCTTGAAAATTTTTATGTCTGTTATCTCTTAAAAATTAGGAGAACAGGAGTATCAATATCAATTCTAAATAAAGGTTTAATAGCAATTTGTACTAAACCGATATTAAGAAAATTATATTTTTGTCTATGTTATAAAATAGGTTTAAGTGATAACATATTTAAATTTTGTTGGTTTTGCCCAATAGACACAGTTTGTTCGGTCATTTTGATTAAGAAACTTTGAAAATAATTGAAAGTTCCTATTTTATATATTGTATTTATATTTGTTTTTGGTATTGTCCAATCATTTAAACTTTGTTTTATGATATTAATAGTTTCTTTGATTGAATTTATTTGATTATTATCATAGTCGGTTCTTCATTAATACTTTATTTTGTTTTAAGATTTTATAAGAAAGCTTACTTGTTTTAATAATGATGAACAGAGGGGAGTCGTTTACGTCCTTATCTGCGCGTCTTACACTAATCCAACCAATCACTCGTCTTGGCTTTGAATCATACTTATTAAAACTCATAATTTACTTATAGAATTTTAAACCAAAATTAATCAAATTTGAAAAAATTCTATCACACATAACCACCCAAAAATTCTTTCTTGCCTCTGATACCATAAAGGCGTAAATACGGAATGAGAAAAAATTTTAATTAGTTTCAGGTACGCTTGAGTAATATGATTAGCTTGATTGTTTAAAATAAAATTTATTTCAACAAAAATCTCAAATCTTGTAGAATTAATTGTTACAATAATTCGAAATGAAATAATCACAGTAAATATCCAAAATATTTGTAGGAGAAAATGAATTCATGAGTATAATGACAAAAATTGAATAAAGTACTCTTTAATTAGTGCCTTCTTTGATTAGAATTGGAATAAAGGCGAAAATGCCGAATGAGAATTTTTCTTAATTAGTTTCAATTTGGCTTGAATAATATGATTAGCTTGGCAATCACCCATGACTTGCCCTAAAGTCAATATTCACTTCACTCCAAACTAACCCAAGCAAAAGTTGCCAGACAATGCATCCAAGATCTCTTGGATCTGCTCCTCCACGCTCCCTACTCGCTATGCCACTCCTCTAGCTACATCTTCCTTGACGGCCCTTTCCATAGCCTCCCTAGCCTGTCTCTCAGTCTCAAGCCTGCGAATCTCCTCCCATCATCGTAAAGTCGTACATAAACTGAGTCTTGTTTCGATCTCTCTTCATGTCCTCTTGGTCCCGTCCCCTCTGGGCTCTCATGTCCTCTATCTATCTGGCTCGTAGATCATCGTTGGAACCCAAAGTATGTACCTCACCACCTATGGCCTCAACTTTATGGCCAAGTCACATGGTATGACCAAACAAGTACGACAACCTATCCTCCTCAGTAGTGGTTGGGGGTTTCGCCTTCGAGCATTACCCTACTTTGAACCGATGGGTTCCTTCCTGGTCTTGGACCCATTCATTCACAACGTCAGTTATCCAGGCAGGATCTTGCATCCTCCTCTCCTGAGTCGCACGAGAGGCTTCAGACATAGGGTTTAGTGCCGGCTCGACAAGGGCAGCATGGTACTGGTGAAAGTTCTCTGTGAGACTCGGAAAACTGTGGACTCGCATCCTAGGATTCTTCTTCTTGACGCCTCCACACATGGGAATGGTCTTTTGTGTGTGTTTCCGATTGCGAGGTATCCCTGAACCTAAGTAGTAAGAGAGAGGTGTTGGTGACGCAACATGTTCTTCTTCCTTCATGGGGGTCACATCTCCTATGGACTCGTATGCCTCGGGCTCCCTTTCTTCTTCGAGCTCCTGTTCCATATCCTTCGGATCCTCGATAGGATCCTCCTCAAGCTCATGTTCCATCTCTTCCAGATCCTCGGTAGGATCCTCCTCGGGCTCGCTGTCCTCAATCAATATTGGCATTCCTACGGCCGGTGGAGCAGGGAAATAGGGTCCCCATGCAGGTAGTAAGGTGAGTCCACCTCTTGATCGATCTCCTCCCACTCTTGGTGATTTCTCCTATAAATAAATTTAGTTGTCGTCAGTATTTATTTATTCACAGTTTTACATAGTTTTAAATTTTATTCTCATATTTCCTGATCATTCAAACAGATCAACTAATTCACTTAGTTTCAATAGTGCGTAGAATCTTACCATAATAAAACCTAAGCGCGCAACTAGGTTTAGTTGTGGTACGACCAATGTATCAGAGAACCTAATTGATTATTTGACTTTTAAACTCTTGTTTACTTAATTTCTTCAATTTTTATTTATTTATTTATACTTTATGGATGTCGCTTGTATGATTATATTTCCTTAGGGTTTTTATTTTATTTTATCACGCGTAGTTTATAGGAACAATTTTTGATCATAGGATCATCGACCTAAGGGGGAAACCTACGCGTACTAAATCTTAGACTTATAGGGGTAAGTCTATTAGCGATATGATATAGGTTTTAGGAATACTGAAACCTATTAGAGTAAGCCCATAGACTATAGTTGTTCTCTTTTAAGGGAAGTACTAATTCGCTATAATCGTTAGCTCTGATACCAATCTGTCACACCCCGACCAACGGCGGAAACGCCGGGGTTGTGACTTTAACATTGGGATCATAGTCAACAACATATAATGAAATAATAATAGAATTCATACGATATTACATTCCTCCGAAATCTGAATGCAACAAAATACACCGTTTAATAAACCCATAAGCCTTATACGCGGATTCCAATTTCTTGCAAACACAAAGGAGACAAAAGGCTACTATATAGCCGACAAGTTATTTACAACGTCAAATTCTTCATCCTCACACGGGGTGTGTGCTCTTCTGGCCACCTTGAACACCAGAGATACATACATTTTAAAAATACATCAACAATAATGTTGGTGAGCTTTATAGGTTTTCTTTTGACTCCGACAATTTTAATAACTCAAAATAATTTTCAATGACCGGTACATTATAAAGCATATTTTATTACTCAAACAATTTTAACGACAAGGATTAGTTATTCTCGTGACAATTTTTATTGTTTCGATCTTGTCCGCTCACAAAGAGTTTTGTCGCAAAGAGGGGTAGGTAACAACCTATACACTCGAACACTCTCAACCCTAAATTGGGAGAATTGACTAATCCTATACCTATACGTCTTCGAATAAAAGTCTTCAATATAACAATTTACCTATAACCAACACTATATGTCACTCCTCCACAAGCCACACTGCAGGCACAATATAAATAAAAATGGAGGAATCGAGATCATTACTAACGTTTGAAAACAGTCGTCTAATAACGAGGAAAGAAACACTTGGCGCCTGTTGTCTCGTCATACAAAGTTGTAGCCAGAAACCACAAACGGGTAAACTACGTCATCTTGCATAAATCATTCCATAAGAAATAGATATACACCAACGTTCTTTATTATAAATCTATGTTGTGTACATAGACCTACAATATATGATCCCTCATGGATTAACGGTTACACAACTAGGTTTCAATTCTAGGATTTGATCCATATGAAAGAAAAACACACCATCATAAAACTCCCTCTTTCACCCCCTTTCGATATATTCCTCCCACAAGCACATACGGGATGCACAATCCACAAAATCCATGACAACAATTCTTCGACCCATAAAATTCGTCGCTACCGATGATCACTAACGCGAATCTTAAATTATTTATATTTTTAAAGTTTAGTGAGTTCAGTCAAATATTGAATTTAACTTAGAGTTCAACTAATGAGACAGTAGTAATTCGAGTAGTTTCAATCTACAATCCGATAGGAAGGACCTTCCGTTAGCGTAGTCGAATAACTCATATATATATATATATATATATATATATATATATATATATATATATATATATATATATATATGTCGGCGTTACGTCGGTTGACCGTTTGTCGCCTTAATCCATTAATATTGTATTTTTAATATTTACTTAATGTTGAAAATATATTGTTTTCGTTTGTAAGTAAGCTTTAGTCTTTAAAATACGTACATATTATATATCGATGAGATTTCGTATTATACCATATTATATAACTACTTGTGGGTTATTCTCATACTCTTGATACCATTTTATAATTCATTTGTATATTTTTATTTTATCGTCTCATTTAATTCTTTCATATTAAAACTTGTTGAAAAATAAGCTTAATGCCCTGATATGCACAAGTCATATGGTTATACATGTTATGTTAATGAAGAAGACAAGTTAAAAATGTTCATCTATCAAAATTTAGACGTAAGTTCTTAACGACGCTTTTATTTGTTCCGGCAAATATTATAACACTAGATTCATCAACTTACTCTTATCTAACATTTTTATTTCTACAAGTGCTTGTAAATATGCCTAACATTTTATAAAATTCTTATGTGTATCAATTACTAACCACAACATTTTTAACAACTTTATTTGTAAAAATATTTTTTTCTATAAACATAGACATTTATAATTTTTGTATGTAGCATCAACTTTGCATGCATGTAACATATAAAATTTTTAGCCATCAATTTATATCAAAATACTCAAGTATGTATCTCCCCCAAAACGAATAAAATGTAAAACGGGGCATAAAGACTCACATTTGGTGCGTGATTCTCGAGTTTAGACAGGTGGTTCGGTGAGGTTTTTGCTTCGTTCAAGACCTGGTATCTTCACCAAACAATAAACAAATCTAGATTTCGATGATTGGAACTCACAAAGATGCTCTAGATTTTTAAGGTGAAATAAACTCACCAAAACAGCTACAGAATCTGTCGACGAAAATGGGGTGGCCGGAGATGTTTCCGGCAACTTTCTCGCCTCCTTTTCTTCTTGGTCCAACAGCTGTTATAGAGGAAAAATAGGTGGCAACAAGATCGATCAAAGGGAGGGTGTTTGGTTGTCTCGAGGAGTGGTTAAATAGGGAAGAACTCTGAGAGGCTGCTACCTCTCTTATCGCCGGTAAAACAGCCAACAAACACCTCCGGTGGAGGTGTTCCTTGATGAACTTGAAGTTAGGCTAGAAGAGAAGGAGAGAAAAAGGTTTGAAGGGTGCTTTTGGCTGCCATTTTCAGCCATGAAGAGTCCTTTTATAGCTCTAAATTTTTGGTCATCATCAAGTGGGTGTACTTTAGCTCATTACTTGAAGTTATTGTCTTACACTTTACAATTACTCTAGTACCACTTGTGCAGAATTTTTGTTGGATTAGAGAGGATAAAAGGGAAAGAAAACATGGGGACTTGGGAGAGGGTGTAGAAGTCTTCAATTACCATGTACCTTGGGTTGATACTTGTAAGCAATACTCTTAAACGAGTGTACTTACACACATGGTGAAATGATCTGAATGGGTGGTTGAAAGCTTTAAAAACTCAAAGAGAAAAGAGATAGACCCTTAGGGGTTGACTTTGGCCTTCAAAGCTAGCCTTAGATATATTTGAAGGTGATTGTATGTACTAGTTCTTAATTGAGTATAGTATATCAAAATGGACTTTTTGGGTATTGATGTCATATGATAATAAAGTCCCCTTATTATTACACATAAAACTTGAAAGGACTTGGATATTTTTATAAAGAACAAATTACTGAAATAGTCCCTGTGGTTTGGCTAAAGTTGCACGTTTGGTCCCTATGTTTTTTTTTGCACTCGGACCATCCCCACGTTCTCTTTTTATTACCCGCCTGGTCCCTGGGTCCGTTAGTCGTCAACTCCAAACGTTAAGTCACTCACGTGCTTCGCACACGAGGGGTATTTTCGTCATTTTATACATGGCGCCTAAATGCAATGCCAATCGTTTCTTCATTCCGATCATTTTCCGATCACCTCCCTCTCACACACACTCTCTCTCTCTCACTTAATCTGTAACTCATCAAAATCGAGTAGAAACCCTAACTGCTCAAAATTTTGCAAGAATCATCGAAGCAACAATGGTGGGTTGGAGGATTAGAGCAAACATGGAAGAAATAGACGTTGAAAACCATTACGGTAACCCCTTAATTTCAAAAGTTAAATTTATCACTTACAAATTTCAAGCTAATAAGTTGAAGCTTTCTCTTTTACAGCTGGTCATCCAACTATCTTCTCCATCAGATTATTCTATGGTGGAGAGTTTACGAAGTTTCCTGGAAGGAGGTACGTCAAGGGCAAAGAAAGATACGTTGATCTATTGGACATTGATGAGTTTTGTGTGCACGATATTGATGAGATGATGGAGACCCTAGGCTGTGTTGAGGAGGGTAAGTTGCTTTATTACCACTTCAAAAGACCCTTTTCAGATTTGGACTTTGGGTTGTTTGCATTGGCTAGTGACAGTGACATTAACCATTTGGGTACATACGTGGGTCAACATAAACTGATTGAAGTTTATGTTGAACATGGTAAAACAATGTTGCATACATATACAATGTCATCTACCCCTAGTAAAGGTAGGATAGAAGAAATCGTTGATCAACCTTCGTGTAGTAGAAGGCTTTTTTTGGAATGGAAGGAAACTGAAACATGGGATTGTATTGGATCAAGTAAACCAAATGTTGTGCCAACAAAAGAAACTGAAAGTGCCCAAATTGATGCCCAATGTGAAACACAAGGTATATGTGATGAATTTGATGAATTTCTAAATGAAGAAACTGGAGGGATTACTCATGAAAGTGACAATAGAGATGATGCTGATGATAGTGGTGATAGTAGTGATAGTGATGATAGTGAGTTCTTAGTAGACTTAGATAACCTCCTAGATGAACTTGAGATAGACATGAATGAGTTTTTGTTAAATATTGATGAAGATATAGAGTGGGTGGGTGATCTTGGAGGGTCAAATGTCAAGGAAACAGAAACAAGGGAAATTGATGATATTGAGGTTGTAAACAATGAGGTATTCTTATATGAGTCATCATCCGATGAAGGTGGGAGCAACAAGAGAAGAAAGTCAATTAAGGCAATCCGAAGGGCAATGGAAAACAGTGAAGCAAGAGTTAGTGATCCATTCTATGTGTACCAAAAATTCACCTCATCTGAAGAATTGAAAAATGCAATAAGACAACATGCTGTGGAGACAAGGAGGGAACTAGACTTCATAAAAAATGACAAAAACAGAGTGAGAGCTATTTGTAAAGGCAGTATCCCAGACCTTGGTCAACTTGACCCATGTGGGCCCAGTCAAAGCAATAAAGAAAGTGAAGAAAACAACTGTCCATGGGTACTTTATGCTAGCAAGTGGGAACAAGATGTTGACAGGGAGATCAAGACCTACGAAAAAGAGCATATATGTCTACAAACAAGAAATGTGAAAGCTTGTACCTACAAGTTCTTGGCAAAGAAAATTGTGCAACAGATTGAAAGCAACCCTACAGTCCCTACACGAGCTTTACAAGAACAACTTCAACGTGAATACCAGGTAGATATTTCGAAGATGAAGGTATTTAGGGCTAAAACAGAAGCATTGAATCAAGTAAGGGGCGATTATGCAGGGCAATATACTACACTACGAGACTATGTTCAAGAACTTCGCACTCGAAACCCAGGGACAACAGTTAAGATAGAGGTCGAAAGTGAGCCAAACCCATCTTCTGAGACTAAAACTTTCAAACGGATCTACATCTGTCTAGGGCCATTAAAGAAAGGTTTTCTAGCTGGTAAAAGAGATTATCTTGGTTTGGATGGGACTTTTATGAAAGGGCCTTATCCTGGAATGATACTCACAGCAGTAGTAAGATGTAAACACATATCTTGTGTCATTTTATTCCATTTTATTTAAATTACTAACTCCTTCACTATGTTTAGGGTCTTGATGGAAATAACTGTACATATCATTTGGCATATGCTGTCGTGGAGGCTGAGAATATAAACTCATGGACTTGGTTCTTAAGGTGCTTGGTTAATGACATTGATTTGCAAGCTAATTCCAACTTTACCTTTATATCTGACAGACAGAAGGTAAGTAATTTCAATGGACTTGGTTCTTATTGTACAATGTATACATTACATCTAATGTTGTTTACTTTTTGTACAGGGCTTGTTGCAAGCAATTGGTACATTGTATCCATGTGCAGAACACAGGTTTTGTCTGCGACACATTCATGAAAACATGAAGAAAATGTGGAGGGGAAAGGTGTTCCAAGACATGTTGTGGAACTGTGCAAGTACAACAACAATACAAGAATTCAACCATGCTATGGAAGAGTTAAGAAAGCTAAACAATGACTGCTACGAATGGGTCAAAGCTATTCCACCTCAACATTGGTCTAGGGCACACTTCACAGGTTTGTTTTATTTTGTTGGGTTAATTGTTACCAAATGATTCACTTTCTTACATAATTTTTTATTTATATTGTAGGGAGGGCTCATTGTGATGGGCTTCTGAATAACTTGTGTGAGACCATAAATAATCAAATTAAGAAAGCACGTGACCAACCAATTATCACATGCCTTGAGTACATTAGAGAGTACCTTATGTTAAGGATTGTTAGTGTCCAAAAGGTAATTGATAAGGTTGTTGGACCATTAACTCCAACTGCAACAAGTGTGCTTGAAGAAAACAAATCTGATGCAGCTCAATGTGTGGGTAAGTTCTGTGGGAATGGAAAATATCAGGTGAGTGGTCAATGGATGGACCAATGTGTGGTAGACATGCCTCAGCACACATGTTCTTGTAGAAAATGGGAACTCACTGGTATACCCTGTAAACATGCCCTTGTTGCTATATGGGACATGCGAAAAAATAAGCATAATGTTGGCGTACCTGAAGAATAGGTTCATGCTACTTACTGGTTAAAAACTTGGAAGGAAATGTATTCTTTCAAGATTGAACCAATTAATGGAAGAAGAATGTGGGAAAAGTTTCCATGTCCAACCACTTTGCTTCCTCCTAATCATCATGTCCCCATTGGAAGACCAAGGAAGAAAAGAAGGAAATCAGCTGTTGAATTAGAAGATATGGTGAAGGGTGGTAGCGCATAAAGGAAGGACAAGAGTGTGACATGTTCAAAATGCAAAAAGCTTGGTCATAATAAAAGAAGCTGCAAAGGTCAAAGTGCATGTGATACTAGTTCAAGCAAGAAAGGGAAAGCTGGGAATAAAGCTAAAATTGTAGGTGATGGTAGTTCAATCAAGAAAGGGAAGGATGGGAAGAAAGGTCAAAGTGCAGGTGATGGTAGTTCAAGCAAGAAAGGGAATGTTAGGAAGAAAGCTCAAAGTGTAGGTGGTGGTAGGCAAAGTGGAACTGAAAGTGCATGTGATGGAATTTCAAGCAGGACAAGGAAGGCTGGGAAGAAAGGGAAGAGTATTGCTTAAGTTATGATTGTGTTTTTATATTTTGTGTATGTGTTATGAACCAATTATGGTGTTATGATCTTTTGTGTTTGTTATATTTGTCATTATGTTTTGTGTTTGTGTTATGAACAATTATGGTATGACTTTTGGGACCTGTTGTCTATATATGGTATGACTTTTAATGTATCTCTATTTTCAATTATGGTATGAACAATTAGTGCTATCATCTGTTGCTATGTTTTTGTTTTAATTCAATTCCATTTTATCCAATTCTATTCAATTATTCAATTCATTCCATTCTAATTCAATACCATTCAATTCTATTCAATCATTCAATTCAATTCCATTCCAATAGAAAACCAGTTAATTGCATTCCATTACAAACCACTTAATTCCATTCCATTATAAAACAGTCAATTGCATTCCATTACAAACCACTCAATTCCATTCCATTACAAACCACTCAATTCCATTCCATTATAAAATAGTCAATTCAATTCCATTCCATTACAAACCACTAAATTCCATCCCATTAGAAAACTGCCTTGATGAAACAAAAGATAAGTACATTGATAGCATAAATTAAAGCTTGTAAATTAAAATTGACACAAAAAAAACCCAACTAAACACTAATAACAGCCTCAAGGCCCTATTCTCATGTTGAAGCTCATCCAATGACTTCTGTAAATCAGGGGAGATACTTTTTTCAGTTTTTTCACCATTAAAGTTGTCCTCATCAACCCAATCTATGAAACCACATTTTGCTCCCTGCATTTTGAGTAATTTGGTGTGTGTTAAAGGTATGTGATATATAGATATACTTAAGAAGAAATTGTCCTTACCTTTCCAGTACAACAATAGAAAAGTCTTCCAGGGTTTTTCTTGGTAGTCGATCTTCGTATCACACCAACTTCACCACACTTGCATGTTTTTTCCATTAGGGTTGATCGACACTTCAAAGAAGACTAAATGAAGGAGAAGAAGAAAGGGCGTATTCGAAAATAGAGAGAATCGGGGTTTAGAGGTGTTCTAATAGATTTTTTATATAAAATGACGAAAATACC